ATCCAATCGCGGGTGCATCACGGGCAAGCTTTTTGTGGAGCCATGTTCCAATGCACTTGGGGTGCACCCTCGCATTCACAGTCTCCCAGAGTTGAACCCCTACTTGTGTTTGGGCCTACCCGTACTGGACTCCCTCGCCCGCTACCAAGGTCCACTTCCGCGCAATTGCACCTGCGGGCGGCCCCATGCCAACCTCATCAGGCGCACCGGCGACAACCAGTTCGCTACGACAGCGGCGGCTGCATATCCAGCCGCAATGGATCATCTGTTGGCCTCTGTCCTCTTCCAAGCTCTTCTGAAGCGGGAGGGCGCGATCCCGTCAGAGTCCAGGGGCAACAGGGGCACCAAAAGAAAAGACGACGAAAAAGAGGTTCAGGGAGTTCCTGACAACCATCCTCCTCGGCATCAAGAAGGGCGTCCTCCTGGGCATCGAGAAGGGCATCCACCTCGGCATTCAGAGGTACAAGGGCATCAGAGCTCGAGAAGGGCCTCCTCCGCGACATCCAGAAGTGCAAGAGCAGACAAGCCTCAACGAGGACAGACTTCGTGAAGGTCAACGTAAAGGTCAACAAGATGACAAGAGACGCTGCTTGCCGAGAAACTCTCCCCGTTCGGCGCCTTGCTCTCCCGGTGTCAGGCCGGCTGGTCATCGTGGAGGAGTTCGTTCGGCGGCGGCCCAGAAGTTGAAGGAGAAGTTCTGGTCGAAGGTCACGGAGTTCGCGGGTTCCATGGAGAAGAAGGCGACCCTCAAGATGGTTTCAGAACTGGCATTGGGGCGATTCTTAGAGTCTCCCTTTAGAGGCTTCGTTGATAGCATCAGCGACGAGATGGATGAGCTGGTGTCCTCAATGGGGCAAGATCCCGCTCGCAGACCTGAAGACCGTGATTCGGAGATCAATTTCAGGCGCCTTAGGGCGTGGGCGGTCTTGGTCCAGGACGCTGACACTCAGTTCCTGGGCGGCATGGCCGCTACTGGAGTGGCGCTAGGGGTGAGAGGCGAGATCCCCTTTGTGGAGGCGGTCTACACCAGGAAGGACAAGAAATCACCGGATGAGCAGGCGGTGGGCTGGTGCGAAGAGGCCAAGGACGCGGATCATCGGAGCAACTACGCGTCCGCTCAAGAGCGCATGGAGAAGGTCAGGGCGCACGTGGAGTCAGACATTCGAAAAGGCTGGATGGAGGGCACGTCGGGTTTGTGGAGATGATCTTCAGATTGCCTCGCTTGGGGCGGTCCCTAAAGACACGCAGTGGGAGGAGGTTCGTGTGGTTCATGACGGCGCCCATGGATTGAGGGTCACCACCAGCCTGGATCAACCCAATAAGATGCTTTTCCCTCAGTACGACGACCTGGAGGCATGTTGAGGGAGTTCAAGAAGAGCGCCACACCTCGCCGCTTCTTGTTGGTCTTTGATGTCAAGGCTGCCCATCGTCTTGTACCTGTCCATCGGAGAGACTGGGGCCTTCAAGCTTGTCGGCTAGACGAAGAGGATGTGGTTTACCTCAACACGAGAGGGACCTTCGGAGTGGCCTCGGCCGCATTTTGGTGGGGGAGATTGGCTGGCGTCTTGTTTAGAGTGTTCCACGAACTGGTTACGGAGCACGTTGTCCACTACTTGATGCTCTTCGCCGACGATGGCCTCTATGTCAGTTCAGGCGAGGAGTACCATACACTGCTGTTTGCGCTGTTCATCTTCTTGGACCTCATGGATGTTCCCCTGTCATGGCCTAAGACCCGTGGTGGATTAGAGGTCGAGTGGATTGGCTACACGGTCGACCTCAAGAACTGGAAGTTGGGGGTGAGCCAAAAGAAGGTGGAGTGGTTGAAGAAGGGGCATGACGCCTCGGCGGTCGGCCGCATGCTGGGTCGCGAATTCAAGGCCGGGCTGGGCCGTGTGGGCTTCTTGGCTTGGCGCCTATGTACGCGGCGGTGTCTAAGACTCCTGGAGGCTCCTTCTTTGAGTTGCACCTGGCGGTCAAGCTGGCCATCGCCTTCTTTATGGAGATGGTGGCCCGGGCTCCTATGAAGTCCTTTTCGGAGCCGCCGAAGGTGCTGGGAGAGGTGTTTCGTGTGGATGCCATGGCTGACCAGGATGGCATTGCCATCGGGGGGTGGGAGACCTTCGAAACGAACCACCCGCTGGGAGCTCGCTGGTTCAGCTTACAAGGCGGAACGCGGCGTTCCTGTACATGAAGGGTGAGCCCTTTTGGACCATTTCGACCTCGGAGCCTGGCGGTGACTGTGGCTGTCATGGTCTTCGGCCCGAATGGTAGGTGGCGAAGTGGCGCTGGGAGAGTGGCAGTGACTGGATTCACGGACAACATGTCCAACTCGTTTCTCCCGGACAAGTTCCTCACGACGCGCTTCCCTGCGTCCTTGATGCTCATGGAACTAGCAGCCCAGCTTGATCTTTATAAGTTGGACTTGAGTTTGGCTTGGGTTCCAAGAGAACAGAACGAGGCCGCAGATGACCTCAGCAAGGAGAAGTTCGACCAGTTCGACCCCAAACGTCGAATCAATGTGGATATGGAGGAGATGAACTTTCTGGTGCTTCGAAAGCTGGTTGATGCAGCCACTGCCCTAGACAACGACATCAAGGAAAAGAAGATTTCCAAGCAGAAGGCAGTGGCGTCGTCGAAGACACCCCCGCATGCGAAGCTCAGGCTCACTCAGCCCTGGAGCTAAAGAGGGGTGAAGGCTAAGGAGCCGGAGCTGGCACGCACGCCAAAAGATGAGTGGCAGACACATAATTATATATATACACAAACATTTAACATGACAATACGATTACTTTGTTACTAGTAGCTTCTTGTTCCTAGTAGCGATGGCCTCTACCTAATAGCGTCCTTGCCATAAAGAATTTTGGCACTTAAGGATCCACTTTGACTCACGCCGCCTCGCCAGGTTTCTGTCCAGCTCTATGAGACTTATGCGCCGGCCATGCAGGCTCTGCAGGAGGGCATCTCCGGTGAGGAGTATTTGCAAAGCTGGGCGGCGCAGTTTATTCTTGGATGGACCATCAACTTCAACGACACGTCTCTGAAACTCCAAGGTCATGTGGATGTCGCAGTGCCAGCTTCTCACTTCCTCATAGGACAGCTGCTTCCGCACTCAAAGATCTCTGAAACGGGAGCCTCAAGCTTCAAAGCAGGTGGACACTTGATCAAACCCACCTTCATCCGTTGAACATCTTGATGATGGCGATCACCTTCACACGATACAATCTCGGAATCAGTTTCCTTCTTCCTTTTTTTGAAGAACATGTTGTGTTTTGTGCTTGCGCACGATTGCGGACTTAGAGCAGGACTGAGCTTTGGATCACCGCCAAAGTCAGCATTCTTTTGGCCAGAGACTGCGGCATGGCATGACGAGTTGTTTCATTTTCTTAAGTTTCCATATTGAATAGAATAGTTGGGAGCCCGGGAGAACGTATGAATTCCCAAGTCTTTTGTTCCTGCAACACTGCAAGTCATCATTTCATTGTTCTCATTCCTTTCTCTGCAGTTGTGGAATCCACGAAACAGTGGGAATCAGAAGCAAAGTCAGAGGTGGTGTTCTCCATGGGAGCGGGAGGCGTGGTTAGTGATAATGATCACTCTTCTTCGGAGATGCACATCCAATACCAGGTGTTTTGGAGAGTTTGTTCAGTGGTTCTTGCCTGGCTCCACACATTGTCACAGCAGTCGTCAATTCTCCGGTACAGATGCACACCACGGAGGTCGATAAGTCTATTATAGACTCTAGAGCAAGTCCCTACGACATGGATCGAATGTCCGCATAGCCTGTTTGTTTGCGGGGGACACACATGTGCCATTGTTGGATTGTAGAGTACAATCGTTTACTCGTAGTATAAGAAGATATAAGAAGCTACTAGGAGCAAAGGGAATCGCTACTAGGAGCAAGGACGCTGCTAGGGGCTCCTGGCACCGCCACTAGTAGCATTCTTACTACTTGGGAACTGCCTACCATCCCCCATCCCAGGCCGGGGCTGCCTACCACGATGCACCTGCAAGCTTACGGCCTCGGGGCTATGCCTTTTGGAACATTGCATTGGAGGACTTGCCGACCAAAGCTTTTCAAATTTACAGTAAGTTTTCTTTCAGCTTAAGTCACATGTGATCATGAAGAGCTATATGCCCCCCTGCCTGACCCCACCCCCCCTCTGACATTGCTTATTTGCACTCTATTTTGTACCTAAGAAAATAAGAGTGGAATAGACACCACTTGAGACTAATTCTCGAGGTCAGGCATTGGGGTAATGAAGATTCTGTTCGGTGTCTGTGGTGGATACGGGGTCAGGCAGGGGTGGTGGAGAGTCTGTTTGGTGTTTGCGTTTTCATTTAGACTTAGACCAGGATCAGTGGACGGGGTAGTTTAGTGACTCTGTGTTGGTGTTTGTTTGCCGTATAGGTTAAGTAGTTACTTTACTAGACTGTCTTAGTAACTTTAGTAAGTAGTTAGATGATGACTCGAATCGATTCGAATTGTGTCACGATCACGGACAATCTGCGGCACGAGCGATACAATCGTAATTGCACCCTTTGTCGCACACACCACGTCCTCGCATGAACGCCTGTTCTTCAGACGACCGCTTGTCGCGCACAGGACACACACAGGCCTCGTGTGAACGCCTGTTCTTCAGACGACCGCTTGTCGCACACATCACAAGCCTCGTGTGTGAACGCCTGTTCTTCAGACGACCGCTTGTCGCACACATCAGAGGCCTCTCGTGAACGCCTGTTCCTCAGACGACTGCTTCTTTCAACAAAGCGGGAGTGACAACCAAGTGATTGAAAGACTCTAGTTAGTTACTGTAAGTCAGAAACAAACATACAAACATAAAACCTTCAATCTGGCTACGTGGACTAAGAAATCTTGGGGGTAGATGTCTTAAAATGCTCATTTGTTTGGGACCCAACTATTTGACATGATCAGTCAGATTGATTCACTGACTGGATACATCAGCAGTTGCTCCCGCAGTGACACGCAACATTGTAACCTTTTAAAGGTTCAATGTCGCGATATGCTCTTCCAACTTTTGGTTTGTAGGCCTGGGCCGACATCAGAGGCTGATGGAGGAAAGATCTTAGGTAATGTGAGTGGTGTCTAGACTGCATACCATAAAATTTAGCTACCGACTCTCTAACCCCAGAGCACTGGAATTTGGGAATACAGGAAACCAAAACCGCAACGGAGAACAAAGAATAAACACATAATACATAGACTCACAGTCTTTTGTTTCGATACAAGTTACATCTCATACGTATGGTCAGGGTTTAAGCCATTCCACCGATCGTACGCAAAGCTCAGCACAGTTCGAAGGGCACTCAAAGCATTAGGGCATTGAGCAGTTGGAAACGACCGCTGGCAACTGGCCTTTGCGTTTGCCAAGCTTGGATCACCTCACTCAACTCGTCATGTCAAAGTTGACAAACACACACGCTTCTTACTTGTTTAAAAGTATCTGTGCAGATTGAACCAACTTACCGCTATATTATAAATCTAAGCAGGAGGGAATCAGAATTGATTCAGCAGAAAAAAACAAATCTAATTAAGTTAGACAGGGTGCTCGATGGATATGTCACTTTCCACCAATGTTGAAGCTGATGCCATCGCATCCAAAATTGGCCAGTGATGGCGCCAGCGCCCGGAAGCAGTAGCTTGAGCTGAGGCGGGGTGAGGTTCCATTGCCTCAACTTCTCACTCTTCTCATGTGCTAGGTGATTTTCTTCGGCTTTTTTGGCCCTCTTGGCCGCTTGCGCGTCAACTTTTGATTCAGCTGCCTTTGCATCACCGCCACAATCATCATGTTTCTTTGCGTCACGAATTCCAGACAAACGACCCTTTCCATATAGCACTGTATCCAACTTTTTTCGGGCTTGATCTTTCATTTTGGAGAAAGACTCTTGGTTCGCAGTGTCTAGCTCTGACACCATAGACAAAACAGATAGGTCCACATCTTCTGGCAAGCCACTGCCCATCACTTTGTTCACCGTCTCTTTGATGAACTCGTTAGTTTCATCAGGCCACAAGTGTTTGACCAACGCAGTCACCAGATCAATCTTCTTGATGCGCCCATTCTTGCCTGTTCCCTTGGATGGCTTTGGGCACTGAATTGAGGCCATCACTTGATGCAGTCTTGGCAGTGTCAGGGAAATCCCGGCTAGCAATCCACCCCTCAGAAGCGACTCATCTCGTTTCAGAACTTCAAATGCAACCGCAATGTCTGCTGGCAAATCCTCTGGCAAGGCGGCCGGAGGGAGAACACGGTGGTGGACATACTTCCAAGTGCCAGCGTCGCTGATGGTGAAGTTGTGAAGGAAATGAGCTTCGGCGTCAGGGTCGAACACGAGAAACTCCTGGGCCCATTCATTGGCAGGTGCAAAAATAATTCGACTGAGAGTCAAGTCAACGGAATTGGTAAACCAAAACCAGGCATGACCTACAGACAAATATTTAATAAGAAAACACATGACAAACAGTCAGCTAAGCTAAGTCTCTTTGTCATCAACCACACAGGCTTTCATTTTCACTGCCAACGTCGCGTATTTTTGGAAGCCCAGGCTGAAGAAGAATGCAGGGTCCTCATCATCGTCAAGGTAGTATATGTGGCCCCGAAGCAGAAAAACTCCTGCCACAAGCAGAGAAAGAGTCACACAGTGAGTCACACACACACATCACGGACATTGTCACCCCAATGCAATTCTCAGTCACTGTTTTAGATTAAAGTATAAACAATGTATTGTCAGTGAGGGCTGCGCTGGCAGACCGAACGGAAAGATGACAGTCAGGGTAATTAAATAAAGTTAAACCCATGAATCCTGCCCAAGTGAAAGTGCAGTTCGCAAAGGACGTTCTAGAGTCAAAGAGCAAGTACGCCGCTGCAGCTGAGCTATTGTAATGGGACGCAGGCCCAGCCAGTCTCCAGGTTGTTTTTTGAATCCCTGCAGCTGTCATTGGTATCTTGACGTCACTGGCAGATGGAAGACTGGTTGCGTCAGACCGGAAAGCTTTCCAAAATATACCCATCATGTTCTCTTTTGAAATGCCATACTGAGCGCAAGCACTGATCCAGTCTCTGTCAATTGGCAAGGACTGTGGCATACCACTGGCCTGAACGTAAGGACTTGCCGCAGCGTAGAACCAGGCGGCAAAATTTGACACCCGCTTGTTCTTGTTCGAAGCACCAGCGACGTATGCCAAATGGGCAAATGTGGATTCGAGAATGTCCTTCGTGGAGGAACTGCCTGAGCAAAACTCTGTCATCACCCGCTGGCATTCACGTGTGTGGTCAGAATCCAAATCAAAATCTGCAAGCTGGAGGTAGACCATAATCTCTCTGGCCAGGGTCTCTTCCTGAAATGCAAGTGTTGTCAAAAGATCCTGCAAATCAGGTCTCTGCGGGGCTAGCTGCTCTGCCTTGACAATGGCTGACACTAGACTCTTGAGGTGCTTCATGCCACGCTTTCTGGCTTCCTCATCTGCAGCCAGAAGGGAAGCTGCAGCCAGGGGTAATGTCATTTGAGGAAACTGTTCACTCCACGCAAAGCTTCCAGCTAACTCACCAGCAAACCTTGAGGCCTTTTCCACAAGCACAACATCTTCCTGCAAAGCATCGTACGCAGCTGGAGGAGTACATCGTGGCGACACCCTCATCTCGTAGCAAAGGTCGGTGTGACTCTGTGTAGTCAAAATCTTGCAAACGGTGCTCATAGAACTTCCCAGAGCTCGTGCAGCCTAGGTCGGTTCATGAATAAAGTATCATTTAGAATCGTTACTAGTGTTGATTGTTACATCTAAAATTCAGTAACGGAAGAAACAATTGTGGCATCAAAACGGCATCAACATGCAAAGAAACTTCTTTCGCGTGCGCTACCCAAAAATATGATGCATAATGAATGTTTATTTGCTGCTAAGCAGCATTCCACTGGATAATGCTCTCCAGAGATTTTTGAGCGTGCAAATCAGATACATACTGTCGATGCAAGGGTCGTGTGACAGAAACAAGCATAGCCGCGACGGAGCGTAAATTGCTTTGCGACATGATATCACAGTACATTTGGTGAGGGCCTTTGTTTTGGTAGGCCTTGTATAGCTCTGACTTTTTCATGGGCTCATCTTTCCCTGCTGCGCCCACCTCGTCTTCCCCATCATCATCATCATCATTATTGTCATCGTCGTTGTTTACCTCGTTATTGTCGTCGTGTTCAGCGTCGTCATTTGCTTCCTCGTCATCAACCTTGGTCAGGAAACCACTACACTTGCACCGGATGACAACGCTTTGCGACATTGTAATGATTTTAATCTAAAAATATTTGTTTGTAACGACCAGGAATCCCATTGATTCAATTTCTTGAAGTCTTTTTTTTGAGAGGGCGCCGAGTTGTCAAACAGTGTCAAAAAAGGCCACTATTGTTTCCCTAATCTTGATCATTGATGAGTCAGGACCCAACCTGACATTTTCATGGCAGTCGCACTGACAGTGAATTAAATTAGTAATTAATTATATAGTATCTCTAACCATCACTCCATTTCAGGAATTGTCCAAATGCACAAACCTACTTTGACAAATGCTGTGTCTAATAAGGGTCCGCTGTTGAATATGTTTTCACTGGCATCGGTGATGCAGGCCAAGTTCTGATTCTGAACAAGCTGCATTGCCATTGGATTCCTCGAGGATGGCCTCAGAAGCTGCTCGGAGAATGGACCAGTCTTGAATCATCAGCGCCAACACGTTCAGGATACCAAACCAAGACTTGTTTTTCACCTCAGAGTCTGCTGAGCTGACTGACTTTACTTACTATGAAACGGGTGTGACATTGTGGGGATGGTTGGTGTTGCACCGCAGTGCCGACATCGGACATGATTGCACACATAATCATATAATACATTTTTTAATAGCCGAGGTCTAATGATTACAACTACAAACATCAGGAAGCAAAAAAAAGAAGCAAAAAGAACATGTATTGAAAATGAATACATGGGTCATATTTTCCCCTGCCACAAATGGATGGTGACTGAAGGTAATCCTCCACCAGTAAGCGCGCGTTGACGTGATCCACGTCGGACAACTCAAGTCGACGGTCGAGTCGGATCTCTTCTGCCAGATCCTCAAACCACTCAGTACACTGTTTCTCTACATACTGTTTCAAATAGCGGCGTCGCTTTGTGGCACGCTCGCCTGTGATCTTTGTGCCATGACCATAATTGGCAGCAATTGTCAAGCGGAGCACGTCATATTCCAGCCCAGCAGCAACCATGGATCTTCTCCAACAGTTCCACTTCGGATGACAAATCTCTGGAGTGGCTGCGCCACGTAGACCAACGTAGCTGAACAAAAAATTGAGTGCTCGGGTTTGCGTACCCTCTTCGTCTGCTATGAATCTGAGCAGTGGAGCATCAGCAACGGGGTTGTTACACACTGGCGGGTCTTGTCGCCTCCAGTGAGGAATGAACTTGTCAAGCCCTTTGCCGCATAGAATGCTGAAATGGTGATGAAGTAACTTGATGACTGCCTGACCAGATCAGATTCAGGTACTGTAAGACATATATATATATATATATTATATATATATTTACTAATAGCCAACCCGAACCCAAAAGTAAGTAAACCAGCGGAGACCTTGTCCTTCAAGGCAATGACACGTACGCGCACACACACACACTCACGCACACACACACACACATCAAACACAGGCGTTGGCTCGCATCAATCAACTGGTAGGAAAAACACATTCTGATGAATACTTAGATTCTCACGTCTGACACCCTGACTGTGTTCAGAGTAAATATATCCAGTTAATACTGACGGCTAAGTAGAAAGTGTGAGTCCCATCACGTCAACAAAAATGTGCTGCACTGCACAGTGAAGCGGGTGTTCATCACTACTTTTCATCAACTGATTGATTCTCCACCTCACACCCACTGCCAGACAGACAAGGGACCATGAAGCAAGATGAGTCCCTTGAGGATAGCTTTGGCCTTTGCCAAGCGCCGGTCGTCGGAACTAGAACTAACTAGTGACAGTGAGGGAAACCAATTGAGATTGAACTTGTGAGGTCATAATATATATATATAATTCGTTGGAAGCCGCTCTACCTTTAAAATGTAAGTCATACCTCAGATTGCGGCAGCTGCAGCTGCTAATTGTTTACTATCAAACATTAGTCAACAGCTGAGGACATAGCCGAAAGACATCTTCACCGTTCAGCTTCTCCATGATTGATTTGGAAAGAGCCTTGGCGAAACTGATGAGTCAAGTCAGACAAGACTTTCCAACGCGCGAACGTGCTCCGGCAAGTCACGTTAGGTTGACAAGTGACAGCAGTGAGTCTGTCTCATGTTATGTTCTTGGTAAGTGCACCAAAATTAAAACCCAATCTGATCGAGTCATAATCACATTCGCAGCGCGGCGGCTACTAGTTTTTGACAAAGTTGGCTCCTAACTGACTGAGCTGCTCTAACACGCGCCGGCCAAGGAGTTCTCCACTGTCCGACTGTGGCTGGAATTGCTACTGGTTTTGGAGCCCTAGCTGATCAAGCGCTGGCCAAAGTGAGACAACCCAATTCGTCACTAAGCCGTTCAAGCATCAACTACGGCGCTACTCAGTAGAGGGAACAGTTCCCAATGTCAGACCGAAGGGAAAGCTACCAGTAAGGCGGCCTCTGAAACAAGCCCTTCACTTTACATCCGACAAGTGGGTTTTGCTCCGGAAAAAGTCAGGAATCGTGGTCATGTTTTTCTGCGTCATATTCCTCACCGGGGTTGCCACTGTCGTCATCCTTGTTGTTTTCTTTTGGAAATGCTCCGTGATAACCCCCTGACGGTGATTGCTGGAAATCCCCGAAGTCGAGTGAGATCCACTGCCACGGCCACGCCCACGGGGAAATCCACGACCACGACGAGTGCGGCACACTGTCATGGGAAAGTAGCATCCGAGAGGCTGCTGCTGAGGGCTATTATCATCATTGTCCTGGTAGTAGGTGAAAGTCATCCTTTCCGTGATACGCTGCTGATGCTGAAACCCATCAACATAGGTCTCCTTTGGAACAAGGTAAGGAGTGCCTTGTTGATCGGCAGCATAGTACTGTGTCGCTGGAAGAAATGAATCGTCCTGAACATGCCCGTCACTGGGTCCAAGTTGAATGCCGGGTTGTGGTTCAACCGATTCCTGGTTGGCTTCTTCAACAGATTCCAGGGTGAAATTTCCCATTCGACGCAGCTGAGGATGCGGTGGTGTCGACATCGGGCTCACTACCATCGATGGTGACGTCAGCCTCTGTGGTGGACTGTCAGTCTCACTCAACGCTGGGCTTCGATTTGGTGTCATGACCGCATTTGGGCATGAGCGAGACCTTGGCTCCCCCATCATTGCATCAGCTGAGTCTGATGTAGGACACGAGACAGACGAGTCAGTAGCAGGCGAGGCAGGCATGACTTGTCCACACGTCACAGACAGAGCAATAGTAGCACTGGTTTCCTGACTTCAATTGAACCAAAATGGCTTAAATATTAGAGAAGACCCACTGTTTGAATGCCACGAATCATGTCAAATGCTTATTATTGAGTCAATGATTGAGTTGTGACAACTCCGGGGCCCAGTCGCTGTGGAAAATAATTTGTGGAACACCGTCTCATTCAACTAGTTTCTTTACAACAATAACAGATCTTTTTTCAAGATTTGACACAGCAACAGTAACAGCAACAGTGGATGCTGCTCTTGACAAGACTTGTCATTTGTCAATATTTTCACGCGAATTGCTCGATCTTAGGAAGCACATGGCTGGCACGTCGAGATGCTGATTCTGAAGATGAATCAAGTTCAAGACTCCTGGAGAACAGTGTCTTAGCCAAATTCAAAAGATAGTAACTCTTAGTAACGATTGTGAATACTTAGTTACTTAAATAGAGATAGGCCGTGTGTTCCCAAAGGCTGATTTGAAGGATTACGCTCGCCATGACGCTGGCTGGCCACAGCGTGCTGAGTCTGGCAATCCTGTGACAATTCCTGATCACTCAAGTTCAAAAAAATGGTCTCTTTCCCATGTCAAAGTAGAGAGTCGGCTCAGCTTCGGTCTTATCGGATTATCGGTTCGATGACAAACAAACAAATTAACAAAAAAACACATCCAGGCCATGCCAAACTGTCACAAATTGAAACTACAGGCCGCAGGAGCAACGCGCGGAGACAAATTGCTGACCATGCCCTCACTGGTCAGTCAGAGACGCGCAGGTTGCTTTGGGATTACTGAGCCGTTGCAATTATTTCTTTCAACTGTTCTAGTCTATGGCAAACAGTGTCATGATGAGATGGGTTCACTAAGTACCACTTGACTTGGACGATTTAAAACAATTTCCCTTGTCAGTCACAAAACAGTTCAATAATAATGAAAGACAGGCGTGGCTCAGAAGACCTACTGACTGTGTTAGTCCGTCAGTCAGTCAAATGGAGGAGCAACCAGGCAGAATTGCAATGCTGTGATGCACTGCAAAGATCAAGGATCCTCTAGCTTGCCACACGAAACCAAACAACCTGTAACAAAGTAAAAACTGTCACTCATCCAGCTCTAACACTTTTAAGGTCATTGAAATGAATGCCATGCCATGCTACGTTGCTGAGCATGGTAGTCACTGTGTTAAATACACTAACTCACGCTATTAATTAACTGTAAATGTAGCAGCTAGACGCAAAATCTCAGGGCTTATACCTAAGTGTGCAATTTAAGTTTAGACAGAATTCTTGAATATTACTTTAAATTTTGTCATGACATGCATGACAGTCAGAGAATCAATAAAGACAGCACCAAACACCGCGCCAACAAAACATGTTACCAGTTACATTTGTCAGTGTTACATCCTTATCAGATAAGTATTTATTTAATTGACTCATGTGGGACAGTCTGTGATGGTTAGTTACAATAACGTTACGAGCTATTGTTATGTTTTTTTAAAGGAACAAACTGCCGAGTTAATCAGTCAGTGAGGTCATTGAATAGTTTTGTTCAAGCAAACGACCGTTGTTATTTTACACTAATTCAATAAAAAAAACATTGGCCTACATTTTTTTGAAATTTATTTGTATGTTCCTCTAATCGGGGTTTGTTACTTTCAATCATGTGGTGGTCATCATCATTGTTTGTTTTTTTACACTATTGTTAGTTGATATCGGGTCCGGGGAAGGTTATGTCTTTGAATTTGTGTTTTATATATTTTCTTGTGTGTTGTTCTAGTTTAAGACATTATAACATAGGTTATCATTGGGAAGCAAGGTTGTGTGTGTTCTTGCCAAATATAGTTTTTTTACAATACATTGTTTGTCTGTTTTGCTTTTATATATTTCTAATTGAACATAATCTGTATAACCATAAATTGTTTGCTTGTTTAGGCCTTATTTTAACCTCATTTTAACCTCATTTTAACCATGTGTTGACCTTATTTTGACCTTATTTTTGCCTTATTTCTTACAGCAAGGTATTCTGCTTATTTTGGCCTTATTTTGACCTTATTTTGACCTTATTTTTGCCTTATTTTTTGCAGCAAGGTATTCTGCTTATTTTGGCCTTATTTTGGCCTTATTTTGACCCTATTTTGACCTTATTTTTGAACCATATTTTGTGATATTTTTTCAACGATGTGTCCGTGACCATATTTGCATTGCTATTGTTCTTTCAACATATTGGTTGTATTGTTTAAATGCGTCCATCTCTAGCGTAATCGTGTGTGTTTGTGAAAACCAACTACTGTTTCCACATGTACCGATCCTTGCCGTCCGTGAACTTAATTAACTATTGGTGTGACAGTTGTGTCATGAGTGTGGCAAACCAGAATTTGAATTTGTCTGTCACTCTTCGACAGGAATCACACTTGACTTAGTCTTCAACTTAAGCTGCTGCTTAGCATCGGCCTTTGGCGCTGCTGATGATTTCGCAGCAGCCTCAGCATTCGTTGACGTCGTCTCACGGCGCCTGGTCTCATTCCCCTCAGCATCAGCAGCCCGCTTACGCTCAGCCTCAGCAGCCCGCTTCTTACTCTCAGCCTCAGCAACAGCCAGCTTCTCAGCCTCATCAGCCCGCTTACGCTCAGCCTCAGCAGCCAACTTCTTACTCTCAGCCTCAGCCAAAGCCAGCTTCTCAGCCTCAGCAGCGGCCCGCTCCTCCTGAAGCTTCGCCTCAGCCGCCGCAACGGCCAATGCCTCAGCCGCAGCAGCAGCCCGCTTCTCCTGCTCCGCAGCCGCAACGGCCAATGCCCTCGCCCGCTTCTCCTCAGCAGCAATGGCCGATGCCCTCGCCTCAGCCTCAGCAGCAGCCCGCTTCTCAGCCTCAGCGGCCCGCTCAGCCTGCTCAGCCTCAGCAGCAGCGGCCCGCTCAGCCTCAGCCTGGGCAGCGGCAGCGGCGCCTTTGTCATGCTTCTCAAGCTCAGGCTCACGGGCTTCCGGCTTTTTTTTTGGCAGAGGAGTCCAGGCAACCGCCCGGCTGCTAGTCAGTGCCCTGTTGATGGTGCGACGTGGATGCTCACCATTCAAGCAGATCAGAATCCAGTCATCTTCTGATTTCATATACTCCAGACCCCAGTCATATTTTTTTGGTAGAGGCAACTTCTTCCGCTGACTCGGGCAGAACAAAGTTGGAATGCCATCTTCCTTTACAATGAATGGTTCATCTGGCTGCTCTTCCGGTTCCGCTTCTTCTTCCTCATCGTCAAACAGAGAGCCACTACTGGCGCAGGAATCAGATTTGTCTTCTATTTTTGGCTTGTCGCGACCTGCATCTGATTCTTGGTCTCCCAAGGGATCGGCACTTTCGGAATCCTCCTCATCTTTGCGAACACCACGGGCACCAGGTGGTAGTGGACCTGACCATTTCTGTTTGACTGATTGATTTTAAAATTGTTTGGTTGACATAACTGGTTAAACCAAACTTCAAGAACATAATGACGCTGATTCAAATTGACAATTGATGCATTGGAAATTTAAAATAACAGTGACGGTTTCCGAACGTGAAAACAATTAACAATGAATGAAAAACATTCAACAGTGAAAACTAGATTTTACTAACTTTAACAATTTCAGCGGCCAATGCCTCCAGTGCTCATCCCTTGCAAGAGCTGCGGATGCTTGGCAATTCGCTTCGGGGTAATAGCCGCATTCTCAGCAGATGTCTTCTCAACGCAACGTCTCTTCACGATTGATGGCTCGCCGTCACCTGCAGGGACCAGTGCGTTACCAGTGCCATTGCCAGTCCTCTTCAACTTTGGCGTCGGCGTAATCAAATCATGGCTTTTGTTGGCCGCGTTGCTGATGAAGATATCGTCACAGTAAAAGGTCTTCTTCTGATTCGCTTTGTCAACGATGCACATCTCACCCTTGTGTTCATAAAGACTGTAGCCAGCCTTTGAACTGACAAGCTCAATGGAAGTATTCTTATCCTTGTCCATCAGCAACCAGCGACCTGATTTGCTTTTTTCCTGAGTTGGCAGAATGACAATGTTGAGGAAACTAATATTAATCATTCTGGGGTTGACTGACAAGCTGACCATTGTATATATAACAAATTAACCACTCGTTTTGAAATTGTTTATTTTACATCGGCTATTATTAAAAGAAACATGCAAAAATGAAGACCGACGAGATTCCAGGACATATCGGGGCGAGTTGTCGCTGCTCTCTGAACTCCTGCCGCTGCGGCTGCGTGACCGTGAGCGCTCATCACCAGCGCCCTGAACCTTCTGTGAAGCCCGTTTCCGGTTGAACTCAATGACATCTGGCGGAAGGGGAGCCGGTTCCCCCTCTGACCCCCTCTTGGGGAGTTTCCATCTCCACCCTCCAATTTCTCTCCGGCGAAGTTGTCCAATTTTCAGTTGATGGAATTGGAACCGCATAAACTGATGAATCTCATCAGGCCCCCATCCGGTGTGGGCGGTGGGACAACTCCTCCGTTGGTACTGCGCAACCGCTGCGTCCATCATGTCTGACTTCACTTCCCTTAGCCAATTGTTGATTGGATGACATGTGACTTGGGTCGTCAATGGCAACTAACTATATATAACAAACATCCATTTTATGTTTTTGATTCATTCATCAGTCCACTCAGTTGAAAAACAAAATCTGTCAAATGAATCGAACAACTATTACAATGTTCCCGAAACAAACCGCCAGGACAGAACTAATTATTAATATAATATAGTTTAATATATGATACAATGGTGATGTGAGTCTTGGAATGCCGAGGATCGACATTTTGGCATCGTCTGGAAGCCATCCGAAATTGAATGCCAAACAGCTGAAGAGCTTTGCCCGTCGTGCCCCTGTGAAGATGTCCCTGGACAACCATGTCTTGTCGGCCTGCTCCATCCAGTCAAGCAAATGGCAATCCTTGAGTGACTGCAATGAGATCACACGCAAGTTAAAGAACGGTTTACCATTAATCAAGACACACAAAATATTACTATAGAACTTCAGCAATGAATTCAGAAAAGCGTTGATACCTGCGAGCGGGGCTCAACGAAGTCAGCCATTATCCTTTGTGATTTGTAGTGCTCTACCACCACTCGCCTTGACGTGCCACTCTGATTGTCTTCCTTCCCGCGCCTGGCAGAAGCCTTTGCCGCAGATTTGTTCGATCTGGCCCTACCAGCAGCAGGCTTAGGCTTCTCCTTCTCATCTTTCTTGCCAGCCGCACCAGGAGCTGTCCCAGGAAACCTGAGCTGAGGAGCAGTCAGACGGACTTAACTTAACGGTACGACGGTGTCGGTTGGCAGGGTCGTTTCAAAAGAGCAACTCAGCTGAGCAGAATCTCAGATATTTCACTATTGAAGTCCACACGAAAACAAAATCAGCATCAAATCATTTTACTGAATTCCCAAAAATATAGTAACATAGTCTCATCATCGTCGTCTGATTCAGAGTCGGACTCACTCAGCATGTTGTGCGCTGGCTTTACGGAATCTGGTGGAGGCGGAGGAGATCTTCCACGTTTCTTGGACTCAGGCAGTGGTGACTTGTGGCGGCTGCTCTTCGGATTCCGCGCTTTCTCAGTCTCAGGTGGCGGGGGTGGGGACCTAGGACGATCACGCTTCTTACTCTTCTCTGATCGCTTTTCTGAACGGCCACGATCCTTCTCATCTTTCTTCTTCTTCTCAGTCTCAGTCTGACGATCCTCTTTCTGGCGTGATCGCTTCTCCTTTGTCTCTCGGCCACGGTCACGGTCACGTTCACCACCCGGCATGACAACACCAAGTCAGTCAGTTGACTAGTCTAGACTAAACTTGAGTCAAGGCCTGACAGACCGTTGAAACGAAGTCTTGAGCGTTTCACACAGCACAGCAACGATAACATTGAAACGAATAAATCCACTGATTGATTCAAATGATGAAATAACAAGTATTGTATTTGTTGTGAGTGGCGGCAAGGATCATTGATTCAACAATTATATTAATGTTGTTTACTGTTCAGCTGAGCCTTTTTTGGTGCTGCGTTGTCGCTGTCGTTGACAAACATTCTCAGTCAGTGGCCAGCCTGTAGCAGGATAAAGCCACCATTTGAACCACTGCAACCGTTGTGAAGTGAAAACTGTTGCCAGCTATACTACCTGCTCGAAAACGATCCGCTATTGGGATCATGGGTACCCCCATGCTTGCTGCAACAGTGTTGTCCACAGGGAAGCCCGAGCAAGCTAGCTTGTCACGAGGCAACAAATATTGATCCCTTGCGGGGCTGTAAATGAATCCGGAGCCGGTCCTGAAAGTCGGCACTCTTCCCGAAACCGCACTCCAACAGAGAAATCTGGCGGGATTGTCTCCCAAATGAACAAATAAATCTTCGTCGTTGACAGCTTCGTCATGGAAACGTTCCCTGTACAGTGACTCAGTGAACTGCAGCCCTTCGAGTTCCCGTTGGTTGAGCAAGTAGCGCATACTGTAAGGCTCCGAAAGTTTCCTTGCCCGTTCCTCGGCTATTAAACACGGTTGTTTCTACTCGACTTCTGTCAAACCTCACTACCGGTCACAGTCACAGGTTTGTCAAATGATTTGGGCCAAATGCATGACAACTCAGAGACTGATACGCCACCTGATTCTTAAACTAAAGTTAAAACTGACCCAGTCAAGCCAAAAATCAGAAAGTCTTGATCGAAATCGGATCCCCCGCATGTTCGCTACACGCTGGGCTTCCATTCGGTGCTCAGCATTTGTAGAAACCCAGTAGTCACGCGGCCTTGTTGGTGTCACGTTGTTGATGATGTAGCGGGTCACTTCCTGCGATTACCAGGTGCCAAGGAGTCCCAATTTCATTAACTCATACCCGGGCCCGAGTATTTGACAAAGGAGTTGTTTATATAATACAGTTCTATCATAATATAATTACACACATAATCTTAAATGATTGTCAAACAATCAAAACAACGTGAATCACCGGCGATCCTCATAAACTTTGTTCACATTGTGTATTTCCACCACGCGGCTCTTCAGTGTCAAAATGAGGTATGTTCGATCTCTGGCCACGGCAGCATGCCCAGTGTGAGTCGGCTCAACAAACAGCTGCTTGATTGCATAGTGGCGGCCATACAATTTGGTAATCATGTTCATTCGAAGTTCCTTCAGGGTGGGAAGTCTCAAGTTAGTGAGTACTGTCCCCTTTTCACTTCACCCTTTTTTAGAAACAATTTTGAAACAGAGAACCGTCAGGTCCGGTACATTCTCAATAATCAGCATTGGCGTCTGAAGAGCGATGTGCAGCTTGGCATGGCAGGCAAACACGGAGGATGTTTGACCTTCTTCATACATTCGACGACCACAGGGACTCATGTCAGGACAGGGCAACCCTGAAATGTCATAGTCGGACTGGCAGGTTTTCGCAAAGATTGGGCACTCCTTTCCATGTGTGTGACAATATTGCTTCAGCGTCAGCGGAGCCCTATCAATCGCTCGCACCCTGGCGTCAAAGGACGCCGACGAGTCAAAACTGCCTTGTGGCACAACTTCAGTCAAGTCTCCAAAAACACATGGCTCAGGCCGCCGTGACCCTGTCGCGGTTTTGTACCACAAGTGATGGTCACGAATCAGTTGACGGCGTTTCGCGCTGATTTCCTGAGGGTCGATTCAATTAAAGGTTCGGTTTAATAGTTACTGAATTTGAACATGAATCAAAACCACCTCACATTGATCCTGTCAGACGTTCAGGTTCATTACATTCTTCCTGTCATGTCACTTGATTTTCCGATAAACAACCACTGAGGGCATGACATGTGCGTGAATTGGGGTGAAGAAGATTGGGATGTCCAGTTCCCCACTGCAATTGATGGTCTTCTCCACCACGCCTAAGGCCATCTCCCCTGAGAAACTGCCACTGCAGCTTGAGGACGTGAAGGCGACTGACGTCAGCATTGATGCCTGCCAGCCGCCGGTCGTCTATTGCTACTTACTACTATAAATATAAATATATATCTTAATACTTACTAGTAATGTCCATATTAAAATATATATTATATACATAGTCTCTAAGACTCCTAGCCTTTATTATATCCACAGTTGAGAGTCTTTCTGATCACTGAATCGAATCGTGACGTGTGTCATGTGAGACGACTGTTGTCAGGGTCAGTGCCAGCCTCCAACTGTTCTTTCCCGATTGAAGCGACTAAATGGCGCCAAGCCAACTGAATTGAATGAGCAGCCTGTGCTAACCTAGGCCTCAGTCGCAGGTCCTGCATGACTGTCAAGTCAAAATAATGAAACGATTCGGAATCGAATCAAATTGTCACTGACTCATTCTAATAAAATCAGTTTATTAACAGGGGTCCTCCAATGACTCTGATGGAATCGCTTGACTTGACGACTGGGTCCAGTCTGGCGCGTCAGAGTCGGTGAGGCTTCTCCGAGACGAAGCTGTGACATTGCTGCTGCTGCTGAGTGCACTGGGAGCAGCCATCTGAGATCTGCCAGTCTGACTGACAGACAGAGTTATTAAAAGCAATAATATGAATGAATGCAAATATGTGTCCGTACCTGACTGAGAATCTAGCTAGGCTCCTTTTGGGTTGTGATATTAGTCATTAGTGAACACGTATTTATTTCGTGACAAACTTGAGCCAACGTTCCTGCCTGTCAGACAAGAGAGACTCAGTGAGCTGAGTGCCGACTCTGTCTAACTGGTCTGAGACACAGTCACCTATTTAATGACCCCGTGTTTGTGTTGCAATTCTGTTGGTGACTCTTTGCACTGGATTCGGGGCGGTGTCAGTCTGACTGACTTGGGATCAGACGATTGGCGGCGCCCATCCACCACATTGACACTGTGGGCACCAGATCCACAGCAATTCTGTGGCCCTGCTGCCAACCGATGACGCATCCATGTAAACCTGGCCGGTCTGATAGGCAAGTTGACAGATACTAAACTGATCTTGGTAAGGTACAAGCTACTTGACTGTGTTGTCATGTTTCGCCATCAGATTGAATCGAATTCGTTAAATCGAATCTAGTCTGCTTAAGTTGACAGACAGCAGTGCTGGACAACCTTTTTTTAGTTAGTAGTATGTCAGTCATGATCGATGACGTCGATTCCATGCCAGCACCAGTCAGTCACACCCAGACTCAGGGCTGCGCATGGAACACACGCTTCTCTCGCAGCATGTTGAAGAAGGCAATGAAGTAGGCGAACTCAAACGCATAGCGTTTGAGTTGAGGCATTCAAAACACAACCCTGAGACCGAGTCAGAATGCAAAGCATATATATTTAATTTATGAGGGCAGTGCTGGAGATATGCTGCCTGAAATTACTTCTTCGTGTCACGTACAGCAATTGGACTCATGACATGATGCGCTTCGAAAAAAACGATTGGGGTCCCTTGCCATAGCCGGAGAAGCCACATTTCGAGTGCTCATATGTCGTCCTGCTTTTGGGCCTAGCGTTTTGATTGCTGATGAGATCAGCTTTTCCTCGGCGACGCGACACGTAACGACACAGCTTGGACTGACTGCATTTTTTCCCTGTCAAAATATATTTGTACAATAGCTAAGACTTAGCTTCTCTGGGACATGGAATGCAAAAGTAACAATTGCCAAGTTTTTGACATGAATCCTCGCCACACCAAACTTTCTCAGCAATTTCTTGAACCCAAACCCGTTTCACTGCTGATCTCATCTTTCTTTTGTTCTTGAAGTCAATACTGTCTGCTAGTCGATCCAGATTCGATAGTCGTCGTGAGCGGTCCAAAATCACGCAAATCTCAGACATCAGATCCAGGACTGGGCTCACCACTGCGTCTTGCATCTCCACGCCGTGCTGGGGATCCAGGCAAAAGCAAATAAGCTCAGCTAGACTCATCTTGGAAGCCCGGCCATCATGAGACATCAACCAGTCTTTTTTGTTATTTTGATAGTCATTGCGCCACGTTCGGCGAACGGAACTAATGAAGAAGTCTGAGTCCCAAAAAACACGTCCATCCACAAATCCATTCCCATCCACGTGCAGCTTCACTGGAATGTCAGAATCGTGTCCTGCTGGCCAGTGATCTAGTTCAAAGCCCCCTGTTGAGCTGCACACGAGGTGAATAAGGCTAACAAACGCTGTGCACGCAGTTGCCCTGTCAAGTATAGTCCGGTATTTGTTGGACACAGCAAACACTGCAAAGGCGACAAAGGCGGATGACGACATGGTCTTCTCATTGAACCACATCTGTTGAAGGTTGTCATTAACAGACTGCAAATGGTGTTTTGTTCGCATCTTCTCAATGATGACCCCCGGCCAAATCTGTCGATGAACGTCATCAATAGTGTTACTGGCTTTCCGAAAGCTTGCCAAAGCCTTCTTGGGATTCTTTGTGCGCAAGAATGGTCCAACTGCCTGTGCCCGACAGCGTGCGTGAAAATTCAAGTCCGTGTTGTACTGCAATACTGCAAACGATGATCTTCAAAACATCACTCTACACTGCAGATGAACCAGGCAACCTGAAACCTGAAACCTCCACGATAAACTAAAACAAACAGTCAGAAAACAAATAACAGACACAGACATGACCGTCAGTCTATTTATAATTGAATACCCTCCTGAAGCACAGTCCACTCAGTCTGCTTTGTCTGCGACAGATACACCACGATCGGGTGACCGCCCAAATGCACCAGGCCTCAACATTGCTGTCGATGGTGTAATTTAACAGAAACGTCTGCAGAAATATCTAATGAATGGGCAGGTTTCGGATAGTTACGGACTGGCGTCATCAGACCCAATCCCAAACGAAAAAATCTATGCAATCTTAACAACAGGAGTCTTGGCGACTGACCTTTCGAATGAAAGTCCTTTTCCGCTGGGCTGCCGCCGTCCATCGTCCTGAGGAAACTCCCAAAAATATACTCCCAAAAATATTCCATGTCTTCCACTCAGTCACTAGCAGTCACCACGTATTACAAGGCCCCTTTCCTCACCTCGCATACTTTCAATACTCTGGTCGATATTTGCCAAACACTGTTTCTCAGTCTGACTGGGGCGCTTGCGATGCAGGCCCAGACCATTCTAGGCAAACACAGATTTGAGCCCGTCTGACAGTCTGACAAAAAGCATCTGGCAAAGCTTCGAATCGAAGTCACACACGCAGTGCCATTGTGCACAAAACTGCAAAAAAATCTCAAGTCTGGTCCTGCTTCATCCCTCTTCTCTGTCGTTCCGTTAACTTAATCTAGATCTCCACGTCTCTCATGATTCTGCTGGACAGGCTGTGCTTTACTCATTATTGCACAAAAGTAGTGAAACTTTGTCACTAGGCCAAATTAACGTGAGAATAGTCTATTTTGATGTTATTTCCTTATTCAATGATTATTTTTTGTGTTTTATGATAACCTACTAATAAGTATCTATTATTGGTTTATTAGGAGTTTATTTATAACTGGGCAGGGGGGGTGGGGTCAGGCAGGGGGGCATGTGGACTTCCATGATGTGATGGAGGGGAAGATGCAGCAAAAGCTACACCTGTCAAGGTGCTGTGTTTGTATAGCACCTGGCTCAACCCACGCACACTTGCTTGTGTTGGACTGACGTGGGACATAGATTGTTCATGATTGTTCAATCTATTTCAGAATTTCAAAAGTCGACATCTCCACTGAAGGACAGCTTGGCGAATCACTCCAACAGGAGTTTGAGCTTTGCATCTGGACTCAACAGTTTCCTTCATGTGAGAAAGCAAAGACAAGCCCAGTTGGAGAAGAGGTCATTGAGGCAGCAGTCGAATTTCTTTTGGTTTGAGTGATCCGCACTTTCAGAAAGCATGGAAGCCAGCTTTGCATCAGAATTTGCTGCAAAGCAAGCAGGCGAGTAGGGAATGCCGCATTTTCAATTTGCACGACTCGGTATCGCTCCAAGAAACAGGTATCCCCAGGTTTACGGGCAGGCAAATAAAAAACACTCGTCGTCACAGTCACAACTGCTCGGCCATTCTTTCTACCTTCGCGCATGTCAAAAGATGTGTGCTGCGATGGATGCAGAGAGGCCAGAGACAAAAGGAAGTTGCGTAAGAGTCCTTCGAGTGGCTATGATGTTGGTTTTGCTTGCAGCCGATCATCGTTCACATCCTACCAAAACCTCAGTGTGTGAGGTTTTGCGGTGCCTCTGCTCGTTGTGCGGCAAAGGCACGTCTTTTGACTTCACGCCATGTTTTGTGAGAGATGCCTATTGCACACCAAAATCAATAAGTATGGAAACGCACAAAACCAGAGCCAATGCGAGCCGAAGACAAAGAAATGCAAAGGCTTCAAACAGGACCCCGACGGGTTTGAGAGGTCCTCCTATGCACCTCCATCCCGTTGTCTGCGCGGTGGCCCAAAGACATACCGTTTCATCCTTTCGCAGGGCATGTGGTATGTTAAGAACGAGAGAAGACGCAACATGTGGTGTACAGCTGAACTGGCCAATGACATGTTGACTTGCCGGTCGGAAGATCGACCTCCTTGAACAACAATTGAATTGTGTAAAGCATAGGGTTTGGTTTGTCGTACAATGTTGTATATAGATGACAGAGGCAAGCCATACACTACCACTAAAACTTCTTTCAAAGCAGCTCAAGGCGATCAATTAAAGATAGACATCTATTAAGTCACTTGCGAGTTGGGTCTCCTGTAACAGCAGGTGCGTAGGTTGAATAGACCTTGGACATAGCATAGTCGCCACGTGCAGTACCCAGCCACCTACGCTTGCATGATTG